GAAGAGGAGGAGGTGGAGGGATAGAGACAGGAAGAGAGGAGGATGAAGAGTAAGGGTGGGATAAAGAGGATGACGAGGAACTAGGTAATGATGAGGAGAGGAGGAGCAGGGAGGTAGACACAGGTCAGCTCGACCCACAGACAGGCTCTCTATCCACAGCTCGGCATGCTGGGATTTGGAGTCACTAAAAGAGAAAAATAAATAGAAATGAATTACCCTACAAGTTACTAATAAAGTCACCAAGAAATGCAGTTACTAAACAAAGTAAAACTTGTTGGCAACTTTTTCTAGAAGGCTAGACAAATATCAGTGTAAAGGCACTATATGTCGTTTAAAAAGCTGATCATTCTCATAGCTTTATGTGTTGACAGATTTAATAATATGCTGATCATGTTGAGTCCAATGAAGATCAAAATAAATCAAACAAATAAAATAAAAAGAAGCCATGTGCAGTTATAGGTGTCAGGTTCAATAGTTTGAAAAAAAACACACACAAATAGTCCTTAGCATCAAATAAAGCCAAACACTGATGCATGCCACTGTAAGCAATATGTTGTAAATCAGAAGTCCTTAAAGAAAACCAGAATCTAAAACAAGTGCCATTCATAATTTTGCCAATTCAATGTCTTTTTGAAGAGCTTTTTACCTAATAATAATAAATATAATAATAATAATAGATAATACTAAAGCCATTTAGCAAACAGCATTTGTAATCGTTGTAACTACCTGTGCAGCAAACATTTTGAACAGTAACCGGTGTTTCCGTGTTGTGCGATTAAATTGTGAATATATCCCAACATTCACATCAGTAAAACTAGATTAAAATGCAACTGGGGCAAGCTTAATAGGTGGAGTTTTAATGAAGAAAGACGAGGATGTGTGATGGTAAACTCAGCACTGAACTGCAGGATTTCTCAATGAGGATACATGAGGAAACACGTGGAATATCTGTACCGTAGGCTAACTACCGTTTAGTAAGCGATCTCCATAAATAACGTTCGGATGATAGTAATGATTTGTTTCCTTTGTTTTCGGCCTCCTGAGTCCACAATTTAAAAGCTAGAACACTCGGTGCACTGCTCTACCTGTTTACAGGGAACACCTGTGGTCCCGGGAACAGATCCGGACCTCCGCGGCTCCCCTCCAGCCGGAGCACCGCTCCTCAGCTCGGATACACATACTCCAGCTCTACGGCCCAAAACACCCGATCACAAATCCATCCACGAATCTGAAATTATGTTAAAAGCAGGTTTTCCCAGCAGTCACTAAGCTCTGCGTCCGTTGGGAAGCCCAACACCGTGCGCTGGCTTCATCCTCCCCCGCGCCCCAGTCTCAAACTTTCCTCGTGGAAAGACCACGGAGTGATTTTCACGTGCACGAGGCTCCGGCCGGGCGAGCACGCACCTTTTTATCCGCGTGGCAGGTATCCGAGGTGGGAACACACGATCATCTGCCAGAACAGCCGGGATAACACCGACAGCATCCATCCAGGATTAACTGCTGTGTTAACATGCATGGCAAATCATCTACTGCCATCACCCTTTAAAACAAAAAAAAGGAAATCCCAGCAAGACAAGATCCAAACTTTTAAATGTTATTCCACCTGCTCGCCGGGTGAGAAATAAGCAATGATCAGCATCCCAGGTGAGGTAAGGGAATGCCGGCGCACCTGATCCGGAGAGACGCGCTTCGATACATTCCCATTAGGTGCGTCTTCACGGTCTGACAACAGGCAGCGGGGTTTCCTCAATAGGGTGAGAGTGATGGAGAAAACGAACAGCCTGAGTGCTGGTGTTTCGGGGTTATTCCATCCTGACTGCTCGCCTCCAGCAGACCCGCTGTCCTCATGTTTACTTCCTCAAATCCTCAGATGGATGTGGGCTGCGCCACCGTGCAGCAGCAGCAGATAAACCCGACACACTGAGGGGGGTTTGGAGCAGGCATGGCTCTGATGGTGAGGTGAAGGAGCTTGCAGTGATTCAGCATCTCTCAGTCTGCATTTCAAGCTTGGTTTTTATCAGTTTAATAATTTAAAAGTCCTCAGAAATGTATTTGGAAGCAGTAGATTCAACCCGGTGTTTCATATTGACTTTCATTCATCTTTACAAACCAAACTCCATTCAGAAATCTGCAAAGTGGGGTTAGTAATAGTATGCATTATCTGAGTTTAAATCAGTAAAACATGACTTCCAAAAGGCATATTTTCGGCATTTTGGTTGCATCTTTTGTGCAGCTTCGAATAAGATATGAACTTACTGCCCCTGTACTAAAACAATTAACACGTTGACTTTAATTAAATGTATTATGTCAACAGATTCCACATAATTGTATTAGTTAGTTGTAAGCAATAAAATATTAGGTTTAATTTCATTGTATTGCTTTCACTAACCTACAGTTATGTGTAACATGTCGAATACCTTCATTAAAGTAAATGTTTCAGATTTTCAGTGTAGGTTCGTCTCATCAGTAAACTAGTCGAGGTTGTATTTCCATGAAGTGCTGCCTGGTGCTCAATGGATGCAAATTCACTCTCAGCGTGTCTTGTTGGGTTTCTTATAATTAAGAAGATTTCTAATGCAGTTTGTTGTTTCCCCAATTTACACGAGCGAATTAGGCAACACTTTGGGCTGTTGGAAAGTTTTGTAATCTGCATGCAATTTGTCTCGTTTGCTGCACTCTGCAGGCTCCCCTTGAGGTAATGATAATTTAGTTGCAAATGATGTTAAAAGGATTTGTCAAGGCCTGTCAAGGTTTAGTGAACTGACTCCTTGCCAACCTAAACCACTTTTAATTAAGCCCTAGCTCATTCCATCTCTTAATGTTTCAGATATTCGGCCCGATGAATCAACTTTGACCACTTATCCTTTCATATCTCCTGCCCCTTAGTCATGTTGCTATTATTTGCACCGAAGCCATCGACTGAATACAATTAAATTGGTAATGATTTAAGTAGATGTCATTATCTCATCAATTAAGAGATGGTGTTTGTAGATGTTGCTGAGCCACACAGAGGCAGATCATGAAGCAAACAGTGCCATCGTGTGGTTCATGTCGCAGCCCACACTTCAATAGTTCACACACACACACACACACACACACACCAACTATAATCAGACTGATGAAGCTGCAAAAATACATTAACTGTAGGAAATAAAATGAGATTTATGTAAAATGTACCCCTGGCAGGCAGGAGGAGATGCAAACCATAGAAGAAGAAATCAGCTAATTGAAACTTAATATTATTCCACTGAGCCTGAGAGACTGTCTAGCTAATGTACACAAGGAGTGGAAAGCAAATAAGAACATTTACTCAAGTAGTGTACTTACTTACAATTTTGAGGTAGGCTATTACTTTTACTTTTTTCCCAATGTAATGGCACTTTACATTTTTACTCCACTACAATTCAGAGGCACACTTTATACTTCTTCCTGCACTACAGTTGTGTTTTTTTTTTACGGTTTGTACTTTAACATGAGCCATCAAGTTAAAAATATGTAGTTTGATAAATAAATACTGTACTTACGTGTGACTGTGTCAACATAGACTAGAAAAGTGCTATATATATAAATGAGTGCAATCCATTTACTATACAAAAAATACTAAAACATTGCGACATCATCTGAAACAGAATCTGTCAAAATCAAAAATCCTTTACTCGTCCCAAAGTGGAGAAATGTATAGTGTTACAGCAAAGGAGCAGATCAAACGCAAAAAGGCAAGACAATCAAACATATTTAAGCATAAATGGACTTCCTGTACCAACACGTCATGCCATGTTAAATGTGATGGATTGAAAAATCAGACACAATTGTAGAACAATTTCTGGCTATATTACGTACATCCAGCGCTATATAGACTGACTATTGACTTCTATCTACAGTAGGCCTATATGGCGCTGCGTACATCCATGTAAATAATTCATTACCCAGCATGCATCATCTAAACTTCACAGAAGAGAAAAAA